CCCATTCCCATTCCATCTGGATCCCAAATCTGCATTTCCAGCACTCATTCCAAAGTTATTCATTAAGGAAAGTGAGGAAGGTTGAGGGGGCTCCTTTGGCAATTTCTGGCCCGTTATTCCCAGAAATATTATTCCCACAAAATTTTTCCCAAAAAACCTCAGCTGGGGATTTTTGTGGGGTCTGGCTGCTTTTCCCACTCTGGGGGGTTTGGGGAAATCCTTCCCAGGGATTCCCAGGATCTCTGTGGGTTTAGGGCCACAACAAATCCGGATTCAGGGATCCACAAGCCTTGGGAAAAAAAAGGGAAAAATTCCACTGCAGCATTCCAGGGGCTCCATGGTGGAGATTTCCTTGGAGAGAGGGGCAAGCAGGGAAAAATCTCATTTCTAGGTTTATAGATATTAAAAAAAAAAAATAAATTTATAGGGGCCTCGTGCAGAGATCCCAGTGCCAGCAGGGGATGGGAATAAACTGGGAATGGTCACATCCAGATTTTTGGATGTGTCCAGGGATTAATCCAGGGAAGTCTCTGATCCCATTTGCTTTTCTACATATTTCATAATTTAGGGATATTTTATTATTTAAATACATTTATTGAAATACATTTATTTATTTATTTGTTATAGATGCTTTATTTCTAATTGAATTATTTCCAATTCATTTATTTCGAAACGATTGATTTTGGAATTCCTTTCTTCTAAGCCGCTTTTATTATTCCTGTATTTACATTTCTTTTATTTCCCCTCCAAATTAAAGGGATTAAAGGGAGATAACACTGAACTGCTGGAGCTGCACAAGGAAATGATTCCCAGTTCAACCCTGACATAAAACCGGGAATTTTCCCAGTTTAACCGTTGTACAACACTGGGAATTTTCCCAGTTTAACCCTTCCATAAGAAGGGAATTTTCCCAGTTTAACCCTGGCATAAAACCGGGAATTTTCCCAGTTTAACCGTTGTACAGCACTGGGAATTTTCCCAGTTTAACCCTGTCAAAAAAGGGAATTTCCCCCAGTTTAACCCTGGGATAAAACTGGGAATTTTCCCAGTTTAACCCTTCCATAAGAAGGGAATTTTTCCCAGTTTAACCCTGGCATAAAACTGGGATTTTTTCCCCAGTTTAACCCTTACACAAGACTGAGAAATTTCCCAGTTTAACCCTGTCAAAAAAGGGAATTTTCCCAGTTTAACCCTTCCATAAGAAGGGAATTTTCCCAGTTTAACCTGGCATAAAGAGGGAATTTTTCCAGTTTAACCCTGGCAAAAAACTGGGAATTTTCCCAGTTTAACCCTGGCATAAAACTGGGAATTTTCCCAGTTTAACCGTTGTACAACACTGGGAATTTTCCCAGTTAACCCTTCCATAAGAAGGGAATTTTCCCAGTTTAACCCTGGCATAAAACTGGGATTTTTTTTCTGTTTAACCCTTGCACAAGACTGACAATTTTCCCAGTTTAACCCTGTCAAAAAAAGGGAATTTTCCCCAGTTTAACCCTTCCATAAGAAGAGAATTTTTCCCAGTTTAACCTGGCATAAGGAGGGAATTTTCCCAGTTTAACCTGGCATAAAACCGGGAATTTTCCCAGTTTAACCTGGCATAAAACCGGGAATTTTCCCAGTTTAACCTGGCATAAGGAGGGAATTTTTCCCAGTTTAACCCTGGCATAAAACCGGGAATTTTCTCACTTCAACCCTAGCACCAGAATCTCTCCTGGGAAATCTGCCCCTGACTCAAAGAGTGAGAAATTCTGGATCCCTTTTATCCACAAAAATCCAAATTTTCCCCCTGCCAGATGATTAATTCCTCCTCGTTTCCTCCTGGAAAAACGGGAATTCCAGGACCTGGAGCGATTTTTAGGATTTGACCTTCAAATCCAGTCCAGCAAAGTGGATTTTTCCAGGTGGCAGCTGGGAATCTTTTCCCTAAACACTCAGAGCAAAGGATGATGGGTAATTCCCATCCCTCTCTTGGATCCATGGATTCGATTTCGGATTAGGATTTGATGGATTGGGGTTGGATTCCCGTGGATTTCTGCTGGGGATGAGCTCGGAGATG